GGAAGTGGCTCAAGATAGGACTCTCCCTATTGTATCAAAAAAAGAAAAAAAAAAAGGTGACTGAAGGCTGAAGATAGGAGCCTGAGCCTCGGTATGGTTTAGTCGTATTAGGCAATGTAAAAAGCTTAACCCAGTTGAACACAGAAAATAATTAAGTTTTTTTTTTAACATTTTCATAGATCAACTTTTTTTTTTGTTTTGCTTTTTGGCAACACATAGATCAATTATGATAGCTATATCTCTATGACTATATCTATATTAAGTCATGGGCCAGGCCCAAGAATGAATTCTTTTCCATGGCTTACAAGTTGATTAGTTTGCTAAAAGAAATTGGAGGTCTAAATAGTTGTGAAACTGGATGGAGGCCCAAGTATTGTTAACATGCTCTTATTCGCGGATGTTCAACTCAACCAAATGAAGGTGGCGTTGTCTAGTGAGGTTGGACTAATAAGCTGATCGATCTTCTGACTTGTGTGAGGCAGTTGAAGTGTTGTGGTAGAATTAGTTATTATTCAGATTTCCAGGCCTTCTTCAGACAACCAAGGACCAAGTCCAATGGTTTAATTCCAAATATAAATAGTTTAGAAACAACTAGAGGAATAATTTGAGGGAGTAAGGCAGTAAGCTATTACTTTTAGGCCCTGCTCGTTTTTCGGTAAGTTATTTATTCAGGTAACCAGGCTTCTTCAGACAACCAAGGACCAAGTCCAATGGTTTAATTCCAAATATAAACAGTTTAGAAACAACTTGAGGGAGTAAGGCAGTAAGCTATTACTTTTAGGCCCTGTTCATTTTTCGGTAAGTTATTTATTCAGGTAAATGTGGCTACTTTGGTAAGTTTTTCTTGGGTAAGTGTATTTACTCATGTTCTTTTATTTTTCATGTAAATAAGGCAATGACCATTTAGCTATAAAAATCTATTATTAAAAGGGGTACTTTTGTCCAATTTAAGTATTGTGGAAAAGTTATTTACCCACCTAGGAGATGGGCATCATTTACCTGGGTAAGTGATACCCAGGAAAATAAATTTTCTTTGATCTCTACATAAATCTGAAAAAATAACATGGGATTCTTGATCAATGGAAACCAAAATCTCATTAACCAACTTTTCCCCCTCTCAAAATATGAAAAAAGAACACCCCCTTATAATTACCTCAGAGGGTTTTAATGGATTACCCAGAGCCAGAGGGCCATAGAACAGATTGGCGACCTCCAGTACTGAAGTTGGAAGTGTAGGAGGATGACCGTCATGAACATGTTGTATGTAACTGGTAGTGGTAGATACCGAAAGAATGGGCTTGATGAAGTTTCTGCTGAAGAACAATTTGTGGGTTTGGGCTGTGTTGACCTAGGTCCATATCCAAACCCAATTCTGTTAGTTGGGCTGGATTATAGTCATACTCATGTCGAGCTTAAAATAGATGTATAGCTGGCGGTAATCAGTGGGTCAGTTCTAATTTGTTAGAGGCCAATTACATCATCTCTACTACTTCACAGGGGATGTTGTACTTGTACTCCACTCTTTGAGAAATATCCACCATGGGAATAATGTTGTAGTCCAGAGTGGATTTGCTTGTGAATCATGAGAGGTATGCAAAAACATTGAAATCTCTGGATCAACATAAACCCAACTCCTTATCTTGCTCCAACCAAATAAGACGTTTGATGATGATCTGGTTTCTTCGTAAGTAGTGTCGAGTTGAGATGCCAATGTTGGATGTTGGACATCACCATTCACCAATCGTGAGTTCCGAGCTGATGTCACGTACCTGGATATTGAATTTGGTAGTCTCAACTCTCTATCCTCTATCCTCCATCCTCCTCTCTGCTCACTGTTTGGCCTTGTGTAGTATACAGTCTTCAATTCAAGCGAGAAAGTTAGATGTGCAGGCGCAATTAATTCCGAGCTCATGACATGACACAATTTGAACATAACAATTGACGTGCATCCAGAATATATAAATAAAATTAAAGCACAAATTAAATTATACATGCAGTATTAGGCCGCTAGCTATAGGGTCAATATTTATCGTTGGTGGTTGTTACTTGTTAGGCCAGAGCGGATTTCAGCTGGCTAGCTACTAAATTCATCATACTCTAAAAAGGGTCCCCAATGGCTATCTGTATCTGATATATATAGATGGTCTAAATGGGCCACAAAATCCATCTACATGGCAAGCATATATTGAATTGAATTATATTGGCCCCGTGCAGAAAAGCTTCCTACTTGGTGAAACTAGTTTTAATTTTCCTGCAATTAAAAATTACTTGATTGATTCTATCTTCTTAATTTACTGGAGAAAATATTATTTTATGCAACGTACCGCATCAGGGTTACAAGTTAACATTGGAAGATCATTGACAGCTTGAAGCCATTGGGACTTTGGGAGGAGCATCATTCATTTCTCACTTTGCTCTCTCTCTCTCTCTAAAATTTTTTTATTTTGGTAGTGATGATGATGGACGATGTTTTGATGGTTGAGACAACACGTGAACATGATTGCTTGTCTCAACTCGGATTCTAGTGTTGTTGTTACTAGTTCTTGGAGGTTGTGTATAAATATCTTCTGTACATATAAATAAAATAGGTCGACTGCAGTAACACATACACAACCAAAAACAGAAATTAAGAATCGTAGAGCAGCACATGCACCTGCCCCAGTAAATGGTATTGTAGTAGCTACTAGCTAGTGTGAACCGGCACCGGGCGAATTGACTCCACAATTCTCCTGTCTTTTGTTTCCAGTTTGCACCTACCACCACCAAGTTCCAGGGGTTGTGGCACAACAACCCAAATCGGGATCAAGTTAGGCATTCATTGGGCCCCCATCCCAATGACCCCCCTGTACTTTGTTTTGCCACAAAGACCTCCTTGACCGTGAGATAAAGATCCCCTTATGTTAATTATCCCTTGAAATTCACCTTTATAATATTTTTTAATCTCCATATTATTCTTTTAATAACTATTCGTATAATTAGGAGAAAAATACTGTTTATCTTCTTCCCCAAACTTACGATACACCGAACAACATTCTACTTCAAATTCCTTCACATTTCTCTCTCTTCCTCTCCCCCAATCTCTCTTTGTCCCCTTTCCCTATCTCTCCTCTCCTTTCTTCCTCTCGTGACAACACCTTCCAACCCTATTTTGTCAAAAGTCATTTTCACCACCGTTCCATCGGGTAACATGTCATCCTCGCTGCCTCTTGGTGAATGGTGCCCCGGGAACCAGGGGGTATAGCCTCATGCTCTCGCAAAAAGATGCACGAGTTTAAACCATATTCTTCACCTGAGGGTGACTTAGATGAAGCCTACAATCTGGAACACCCGGACTTCGAAGAGTCAACCAGAGATGAAGTCTGCAATCTAGAGTAGGTTGTTGGAAGAGCTTCTTGAACGTATACTAACTTTCCTCCCTCTCAAAACTTCTTGAGTCTCCGTTCTACTTGTAAGCGCTTCAATTTCTTTGCTCTTCTCTGTCTTTTTATTTCCGTTCACTCTTCTTCTCAACTCAAAGTTGGAGACAAAAACCCAAACTCATCCACGCTTCTTTTTTCTTCTGTTTTCTGACCCTGAAATTTACCACGAGTTCATTCACTTGGATTTTAAGCCGCCTATGTGGCGCACCCTCAAACTACCCTCGTCCTGCACACCATCCCGCCTTCTCTCCACCTCCAACAACCTCTTCTGCTCCTCCCCCCGATTCATCTACCTTGTTCGAAATCCCCTATCTAGATACTTGAGACTCATTGAGTTTCCAACCCACCCTTTCTCATTCAAATCGGTCTCTCTCGTCCCCTCGTCGTCAAACGGATACAAGATGATTGTGCTCTCATCTAGGTCCTTTTCGAATTTTATTTTCGTTTACGACTCGACCTCCAATTCATAGAGCCGATTCAAGGGCTTTTTCCATATTCTTAACGAGAATTCTCACCAGGAAGGGGTATTCCATAATGGGCACCTGTATTTTTCGATTCTGAAGCCATTCTCCATAGTGGGTTTTGATTTGGAGATGGGAAAGTGGGCAAAGTCATTCTCCACCGTGGGTGACTCCTTTTCAGAAAATGGGTAAGGAGTGATTGACATGGGAATTGAGGATTTGGATGATGTCCTGTGATTGGTGTTGTCGGAGCTGACATGGGAATTGAGAATTTGGATGATGTCCTATGATCAATACAAAGATACAAAGTAGAGGTGTTCCAGACATGCCCACAGGGCGACCACCATCGCTGGACCAGTCCATTGGTCCACCAACATCTCCTCAGTAGCAATCACTGTTGCTACAAAGCTGGTCCAGTCGAGTGGAATCTATGTTCGGAAGCCATAGTTTCTATAGCAACCACCAACCGACCCCAATCTCGGCGGGGTCGAACATGGGTTCGGATGAGCTGGGACTCTTCATCGCTTGGCTGTTTCTAAATCAGATGCCATTGCGGTATGGCCGAGATTGAAATCTGATGAGCAAAGTCCCTCTGTCGCTGCCCAATAGAAATCGAATGCCACTATAGTTCGTTGTTGGAAAGACGAGATGTTGATCTTTGTTAACGAGCATTGCTGAAGATTAGACGTTCTACATTTTTCATCAAAGAAAGTCAGATTTTTCTTCCGCAGCTGCTGTTTGTGTATCGTGAATTTGGGAAAGAAGATGAACAGTATATTTTTCCTAAGTGTATGAATAATTATTAGAAGGGTAATATGGGAATTAAAAAATCAACGAAAAATTAACAAAAAGGGGTCTTTCTCTCACGGTCATAGTACATGGGGGTCTTTGTCACAGACCCCAAAGTACAGGGGGTACACTACTAATAATCCTCTCAACTCTCTGCTTATTGAGTGCCAAGACAAGACTTCTCCATGCTTTTCTGTTTCTGCTCCTCCCCTCCCTCTATTCTAAAAACTCCATACCAGTGCTCTTTCTTTCATTCTTTTAGATTACAAAGTCGGATTATATTCCAATGTGAATGTGATCAGAAGAAATAAAAAAATAGAAGCCAGAAATAGGTAGAACTACTAGAAAGGAGAAACATTAATTTCTTTGGCCTCGCAAAATATCAAAGTTAAACCATGTTCTTCCTTTAGTACTGTACACAGTGCAAAATTAAGCAGCTGCAACCCCTTTCCAACTTTCCAAGACAAACACAGAAAGGGCGAGCGTCCTCCTATTACCATTTCTCACTCACAAGTCACAACTCAACTCAACTCTCTCTCTCTCTCTCTCATATTCATATTTCATAGGTTTACTGCATGTGTAGTAGTAAACTTGACATGATCAATAGTATTTTAATTATATAGCACAACACTTGCTATATTATATATATATATAGTTGCTAGTCGCTACTAATTAATAAACACCCTTCCCAAATCCCAATCCATCCCAAATTAAAGCTCTCTGGTCTCTGCTGCTACCTCTGATCTGCACATTGGGTCACAGAGGCTGCTGCATCGTGACCACTATGGGGCTTCTTACTTGATGCTTTCCATCTTCCCATGTCAATGAGCCGCTGGTGACGGTGGAGGCCCCAGGGGAGAGTTTCACAGCCCTCACCTCCACTCTCACCATGAAGCTCAGCTTCTGCCCTATCCTCCTAAACACTAGCTTCTCTGGCTGCACCGTCACCTTCGCCCCATTCGGCTCTTTCACCTTCGCTTCGTAAACCGATTTCGGATCCCCCACATTGGTTACTGTTCGGATAAAATGGGTGGACATCCTCTTCTCTCCGTACTGCTGGAAAACCGCTGACATTGACGGGTAATTCAGATTCCCCACATGCCCTGCCCTTCGCGCTCCATTGCAATCCGAATTCCTCCTTGTTATGGCTCGGATGTTCTTCTCTGTGTAATTGGAATTGCATAGAAAGTTTACATAGTCATAGGACGTCAGGTCATATACCAACCCGGGTTCCATCGCCTTCTGTGGATCCACATGCCCCGCCCCGAAATCCATTACAGTTGAGAAGTTACCCGTGGATTCATCCACCATTACTTCACCTCGGTTGTCCACTGTATATGCGCTTGTCATCAATGCCGACCGTATTGCCGCTGGGCTCCACTCTGGATGTGCAGCCTTCAACAGTGCTGCTAATCCTGATACATGAGGGCAGGCCATGGAGGTCCCCGACAATATATTGAACTCCGTACGCCGCTTATCCGATGCCAACCCGGATGGTCCCACTCCGTCCGGCCAGGCCGCTAGTATGTTCAAACCCGGAGCAATCACATCCGGCTTCAATATGTCCGGCGATTCCGGGTTTGGCCCTCTTGCTGAGAATGAGGCCACCACCGGTGCAGGACGCACCCCGAGCCGGGTTCCTCGGAACACGATGGTGGCTGTCGGCGGCGAATGACTCTTCGAAGCTGCACTTATGTACTTACGTATCTCATCCCCACCCGATGCTCCGACAGCAGTCGCCGGTAATACATGGCAATCCGCCACCAACCCTTCACCGTCAAATACCCCATTAGCCAATATCATTCCAATCCCACCCGCCTTTCTCACAACCTCCCCTTTAGCTGCTCTTGAATTTATCCCTCTGTCGCATAAAACTATCTTTCCTTCAACGAAATTCGGATCCAACGAACCTTCTAAGCACAAAGACGACGAGTACCCATCACCCCCTTCGCTGCCGGCGTAAATCACTGGATAAAGCCGACCTGACGCCAAACCCGGCCCACCGTAGATGCTCACGCCGGGGATAATTCGACCATTCCCGAGCTTCACATCAGCCGGAAAATCCCTATCCATCGTGCCCGCCCCCACGGTCGTGACCCACGGAGCGACATTGGTGACAGAAAGCCCACCCGGCCCACCGTTCCCGGCCGAAGCGGACACAAAGACCCCATGATCGGAAGCACCAAATGCTCCAATAGCAATGGCATCAAGGTAATACGGCACCACGACACCGCCGACACTGAGCGACACCACGTCGACCCCATCGGACACGGCCGTGTCGAATGCAGCCAGAATGTCCGAGTCATAACACCCAGCGTTCCAACACACCTTATAGGCCGCAAGCCTCGCCTTGGGCGCCATGCCAGCTGCAACCCCACGCGCGTACCCGAGTGTCGAAGCGGGGAACACATACCGCCCAGCAGCTATAGAAGCCGTATGCGTGCCGTGTCCGTCTGAGTCCCTCGGTGACCGGTACTCGGATGACTCGTTCATCTTTCCATTCGTGGCCTCGTACCCACCACAGAAGAACCTGGCCCCGATCAGTTTCCGATTACAGGACTTGGCCGGGAAGTCCTTAGTGGTTACACACTGTCCCTTCCACTTGTCGGGTACTGGCCCAAGATTCCGGTCGCCGAAGCTCTCTCGCTCCGGCCAGATCCCCGTGTCAATGACTCCAATGACCAGATCCGACCCAAAATCGGATTCTTTAAGCAACCCAGAACTGTCTTTGGTCTTCAAGCCAAGAAACTGAGGCGACCTTGTGGTGTGCAGTTGACGGACCTGCTCCGGTATGACTGCAAGCACCCCATCTAAGCTTTGAAGCTTCTGGGCTTCTGAGGGTGAGAGCTTTGCAGAAAAGCCGTGGAAGATGGTCTCGTAGGTATGGATGATTTGGGTGTCGGAAGAACCTGAGGGAATTTGAGCTTGTGAGGAGAGAGAAGAGATGGACTTGAGAGAAGACTCATACCAGTGCTTGTGGGTGGGGAAGATAGAGGGCTTGGCTTCTAGTTGGACACGGACAATGAAGGTCTTCTTTTGGCTCTCTGAACCCGAGACTGAGATGAAAATGAAGAAGAAGAAGAGAACAGAGATGGGTGTGGCTAGAGATACCGCCATCACATTACACAGTAGTAGATTTGGTTGCTCCTTCAGGTTTTTATGAGAGAAGAGAGAGAGAAAGGGAGAGGGTCAGAGAAGTGGAGGATAGTGTGACTTGTCTATAGCGAGTGGAATGGGGATTTAAGTTAAGAGAACGAGATCCTTGTAATAAAATGGAATGTTTCGGACACCGCAACTTTTCCGTTTTTCCTTTTCTTCTTTTCAGCTAATACTTTAACCATAAATATAGTTATGCCAGTCAATTTAAATGATGCCGTTGGATCTTTCACGCCGGTGCTGAGTTGGGTGCAGGTATAGGGGGACTGATTTCTGGGTAGGGGTGTAAGCGAGTCAAGTTGTTGAAGCTTGATTTGTTGAATACTGGATTCATCAGTCATAACTCATAACCGAGTTCGAACTGAGTCAACTTCGATTTTTGTAATACTCATTACTCAACTCAAAAAGTTCGTGAGCCTAATTTGTATTGAAACCGGATCCGCTCCTCACACCGGGCGCCTCACACAGACCTCACACGCACATTCAACCATGCATTGAGAACATCTCCCGTATTTATAGGTTATTATTCACGGTAGATGTTTCCAATGCACGGTGGATGTCGCTCTGAGGCATTCACGTGTGAGGAGCATATATCGTCTCATTAGTATTAATAAAAACAAAGTTTTTAAAACCGAACCAAACAACAATGACCGGTTCCCAGGTCAAATGATCCAATCGTTTGGCCTGTTCTAATTTAAAAAATAAAAAAATGGTCAAAAACCATTGTCTAAGTTGGCGGTTTGACCACCTGGATTAGCGGTTTATTGACAAAATCAACGGTTCTTGGCCAAAAACGGTTTTAGGGTGAAACGGAACTGGTTAGATGACTAGTTCCTTTGTTTTCCGGTTCAATCCAGTTTTGAAAACCATGAATAAAACATTAATTTTTATTATATATTATTTATAATATTCTTAATATGTTATATTATTTTCAATGTTTTAAAAACCGACCCAAAGGCCGAACCGTTTTTGCCTCTGAGCCATGAATCACCGGTTCGACTACCCGAGTTGAACGGTTCAGGCCATGACATCATAATTAAAAATATTAAAAAAGAGAAAATATATATGTAGACATATAGTATATTTCTACATATATAAGAGCTGTATATATGTTCTAAATGCATATATATATATATATATATAGACCAATTGGAATAACAAAAAAAAAATGCCTAAGATTTACAAAAAGAGTATATATAAATAGCCAAAAAATGCATGAAAAAAGCAAAAGAAATTACAGAAAATTATAAGTGATCATCATTGAAAAATGGCATTTTCAGAATACGAAACCAATTCAGGAATATCATTCTCAAAAAACATAACAGAATTTCAGATGAGAAAATAAGAGATAACAGAATTTCTGAAAAATAAAAAGTTTTCCCTTTTCAAACTTCAAACTTGAAGCAACAATCATCCAAAACCAAAAGGATTGTCGACTTGTAGGCTTCCAGACGTTAAATGATTAAATCAATAAGGGGATAACAGAAAATTTGGAAAAAAAAAATATAGATTAGAATGAATGACTACTATTTGAATGTAAATCGCAACAGATTAGAATTAGAATCTGAGAGTTCTGAGTATAAAAAATATAAAAAAATACGAAAATGAAATTATAAGTTAAAACTTGCCCGACAAAAAGGCTAAAACATTGAATGTAAATCATGCAAAATTAGGGTTTTCTTCTTCTGAAAGACAGAAATTCCTCTTCCATTTCTTCTGAGCAAAACCCTCCAAAACTCCATATCCAATTGTAAGTCATCAGTGATAACCACTGCAATTGCCAACGCTAAATCTCTCATTCAAAGATGGTGGGATCTCTATTCTCTTCTTCTGAAAGACAGAAATTCCTCCTTCGCTTCTTCTCAACAAAACCCTAAAATGAAAATAGAAAGTTGATGGTGTGGGATGTGGATGCTCTTAGGTGGAGGGCAGTTCGGACGTTGGTTGTTTAGCTGGCCGGTTGAACTGCAATAAAACAATGTTTAGAGAGCCCAGGTGGCTTACCCGGTGTGGGCACTTTGATGCTTAAGTTAAAAATGCGAGTTAAAAGTTTGACAGCAAATAGGCTAGTGAGTAATAAATCCGCCTACCTTGTATTGTTGGGGTTGATGCCCTTATATAGGTGAGATGTCATATGTCTTATGAAATGCCTCTAAGATCTCTGGCCCGTGCTACTAGGAGTCCGTTCCACACTAGGAGGTGGGCTTCGTGCTAGCTGATTGGGCTTATCGAGTCTGTCCGATCTGGGTCGGGTGAGGATAAGGCTCATAAATGTTCGGCGTGATCTTGAAGAGATCGGAGGCAACTGGCTTGCTTCTAGAAGTTAGCTACGTGTCTCATCGACAGGTTGGGCCATCGCGAGCTGCTCAGACCTCGGTCTTGATTAAGGTGCCCGAGGTACCGGATCTAACCTGACTCGCTTAGGTGGCAGGAAATGCCAAGTCATCATCCAATCAACTAGTTGCTTCCATGTGTCCATACATGAATAGGTTGGGCCAAATTACCCCTCATCAAAAGTAAAAGGAGAATGAAAATAGAAGAGGGTTGAGGTTGGGCAAAGGGTTAAGACATGTCCTATATTTTCAAAAATTTTAAACCTAACCATCACCCATTGACAGTTTGTTGACTTGGTCAACAATTTTTCATTAAAAGATGAGTTTTAGTGAAACGGAAACCGAAAATGTGGCTGGATAACGGTTTGGAAGGTTCGACCATACAGGTCAACAGCAGGTTAAAAACATTAATTATTTAATATTTTTATAATTACTTTTGCATAAATTTAACTTTTAACAATAAATAATCTCTTTTATTATTAATTAAAATTGTAAAGCACAAGTATTCGACCTTGATCAATTTTGAAACCAATGTATATCAATTCAACTCGAGTTTGAATAGGAAAAATAAAACTCAATCAAACTCGCACCAAGTTTCAATTAATGAGTTTTTGAGTGGAGTCGAACTCGAATAATTCAATACATCCTCTCGACTCGACTTGATTATTGTTATAGTCCAACCCAACTCTACTAATTGCAGTATTGTACGTTTGCAGCCGTTACTATTCATTTTCCCCTTTCGGTAGGAATTAATCTACAGGTACAGCCTCGTATTGTTCATTCACAAATAACTGTTGAATTCAGCTCTTTTAGATGTAGTAAGAAATTCAGTTGGAAATGGATGTCGATGAGACGAGGTGAACAAACAATTGTTCGTGATCTCAGTAACATGTTGTAAGTGGGGCTAGCTGATGGTTTTTGGTAGGCCAATTGTTAACTTGGATATTCCATTCCATTGGCTTGTTGAGTCCTTCAATAAGTAGAAGACAGATTGGTAAAACGTGGCTTCTTCTTTGAGTCCGAATCTATTACTCACACCATGTTCAAATCGCACATTGGGAACATCTTTTATACTTGTATTTATTATTCGTAGGGAGATATTAATTTTCAATACAGAATGGGATATGATTTGTGAGTAGCAGATCCCGATTCTTCTTTGTAATTTATATTTTAAACCATTTTTTTTTTACTAGAAATTAAACTATCAAAATAAGGATGTGCCCAAATCCTAGTCCTAGTCCTAGCTTTATGAAAAAGGAAAAACTTGGGGGGGTATGCACCATTTCCTGAAATGATTTGAAGGTCCCTTTTACTTGCTTTTCATGAGTAGAGATTATTAGGAACTAACGTTTAATGGTCGTTATACTCATACTACACTAGTAGACTATGAGGTGGGTAAAGTAAATATATCTTCTTGAATGTATTTGGCGTGCGGAAACAATTTTTTCATAAAAAACAAACTTATAATGAAGGTTAATTTAATTTTTCATGAAAACTTTCCAAAAGCAAATCCATCGGATATGAACATTGAAATTTAAAAAAAAAAAAAATTAAAGAAGAGCAAAAATATTAGTTGAAATATTCAAATCAGATAAACAGAAGATGGTTTAAATGTTTAATCATCTTTAGCATACTCAATTTTTGCCCTCGTTGTTTCCTAAGAAGAGGCAGATGAAAAAAAAAAAAAAAAAGAATTACATAAGTGCAAATATTCACAAAGTTCTATCTTAGAATGGTAACACAGCTCACAGATTGGGTCGGTTTGGAGGAGATTTTAATTGATTCGGTTGGGTCAAGTTGGGCTTAGGGTGCCTTTTTACATAGCTAGGTAGGGTTCAGGTTGAACCGAACCCATACTAAACCTGACCTTTTTCCACCGGTAGTAGAACCATCTTGACGCTAATGCACCGGAAGATTGGAAAGCACTGGTCCTTGCATATTGGATAGACAAGAGAGCCATCAAGTAGAGAGAGACAAACAAGTGAATGTTCCTAGGTTGAATATCCAATCTATATATATAGCAAAACAGTCCACTTCATCATGCCTCTTCTTGTTCCAAACCCCTTTTTTTAATTTCCTATTTTTTTGAATTTTTTTTTATTTCACATAATTACCCATTAAATCAATAAGGAAATAACATAGGCTTAACTATTTCTAACAACGATAAAGAAAGAAGGATTTGCTTTTCGAATGTTTAGCCAAGTGGCACCACTTTCCCCCACTTTCTCCTAAATTCTCTCTAATTCCTATTTATCTCTTAAATTATGTCTAATTTAGTAGAGAGATTCCCTCCTAAACTATCTCTAATTCCTATTTATCTTCTACCCCACTTTTTATCTACATCCATAAAGTTTTAACTAAAAAATTTCAGAATTATTTAAATATTATAATGAAATTATATACTAACTTTAAAATATTTATTCAAAACACAAAAGTTAATTGTAATAGATTTAATAATATTCATATTGTTAATAACTCTATACTTTTATAAAATTCATCACGAAATTATGTAGTAACAATATAATTTATAATTTTATGAATTATTCAATTTAAATATTATTCAAAAATAAAAATTTAATATTAAAAATAAAACATTATTTAAATAATTCAATAACTAAATATCCCAAATAACAAAATATCAAAAATATCTAAATAATTATATAACAAAATATTTAATATTTCGTAGTAACATTAAAATAAATAAAATTCAAATAATGACAAATTTTAAATATTTTACATACTATTTGAATATTTAAATAGTGAAATATAACATGACTAAT